TAAGCTAGTAATCATCTTGTGCTTAAAGAGTTTGGGAATGGATAAACTAAAGTAGATTTTTATGTTTATCCTTTCCATTACCTAATTCCAAAAGTACAGAATAATTGATTTTACATGTATATTGCTCTCCCCCCAGCCCTGCTTTTTTGAATAACCATAAGAAACTAGAACAGAATACTGGGGACCTATTTGTACTCGCAGAGTTATCCAGACTATCTTGGGCATCAGAGACAACATAGCTTGGTTAATGTGACATATATCAATGCTGCCATAATTACCCATGCTAATGTATTTCTGCATATACCACATTATACTGTGCAGAACTCAGGCTATTCTCTGAGCTGAGAGGAAGAAATATCTTATCTCCCGAAAATAAAACTGTAGTTTAATGTTTAGGAATAAACTATACAACTAGTTGTTACCTTTTTTTTTTTTTTTTTTTTTTTTCTCCCCTTTTCATTTTATTTAGACTTAGGATGTAAGTATGAAAAATACATATATTTTAGTTTCAGGTTTATGGGATTTACTGCAAAACATTGAAAGTCTGCTCGTTATTACTATAGGGGGAAGTGGCAATGGAAGATGCTTGGACAGGAGTAGGCTTTTCATTTAAAATATTCAAATAACCTCTATTTGCTCTTTAGGTCTAATAGGAAGACCTAAACAGGAAGTGACACGATCACTGAACATTTTCTATTGTATTTTTTTTTTAAACTTTCATTCTTAAATTAAACTTTTTTTCTTTCATAGGATTTCATCTTCACTGTGAATTTCTTACTACTTTCCCTTCATTTCCTGAATATTATTATTATTATTATTATTTCTTTTTAAATCAAACCTCACAGCAGATGAAAACCATGCACTGGAAGCATAAACATGAAGTTAACTTGTGTTGCACTTGACCATGTCATTCTATTCTGGGATAATGATTTTATCTGTTATCATTCCTTTTAAACTTTATTTACTTTTCTGTTATTAAACTGCATTAACAGTCTACTCCTTATCTATTACACTCCCTTTCCTATTCTCCTTTCCAGGACATTGTTAGCTGACAACATCTTGTTCTTATTTATACACTAAAACAACTTTATTGCCAAACCTTCTCTTTGAGCATGCATGCCTGGCACCCACTAAACATAAGAGCAAGATTCTGAGTGAAATAATGTAGATGAATTTAGTGATAAATGGACAGGATTAGAACACATAGCACAAATTGAGTTTAAGAAACTGCAATTCAATCACATGCACTTACACATGAAGAAAATGAAAACAGAAGATAATTCTTGCAAAAGAATGGAAAAGAAAAAATAGGATTGAAGAATATACTTATTCTACAGATATTACATTTGATTTATTCAAATTTTCAAGACCACCTACATAAAACTTTGAAAAGTAAATATTTGTTTTGCAGAAAAATGTAATGGATATGTTCAGAGTCCAAAAGAATCCAATAAAAAGCATAAAAAATATATTTAAGGTTTTCACTGGTAGTTTTAACTTTTAATAATGACTGTAATAATCTACACTGAACATACTGAGTTTTGCTGAAATTGTATTGAATTTTCAGCATTATGTTCTGCTAAATGGAAAAAATTCTCCATGTTTTAGGCAACTGCTTATTTAAGGTCTTATTTAAAGTTTATTAGAAGTCACATAACATTTCCAGAGACTGAAAGAGAACTTGTGTCAGATCCTATCCAATACAAAGCTGGTTTGGACATGCAGTATTATAGCAGTTATCAGTGGATACTACAAAGAGCAGTAAACTAGGCTACCGTAGAGGTACATTTCTTTGCAGTTCTTGAACCCATAGTGATAAATATTGGAAAATATCTCACATATTCCTCTCACTGCTCTACATATTACAGTCATTGGTACAGAAAGAATTCACTGCTATTGACCTCACTACTTCATTAGGTGTATGTTGCTTCCCATTTAAGTGATAAAATGTGTTTAGCTAATTTTCCTTTCTTCATTAAGGTAGAACATTTCAAATATCAGCTTTACCATTAGGGACCTGCTTGCTCCCTACATTTCACTTGCAATAGCAGATACTACTTCCATTTCCTGCTCAGCCGCCACCTGCTGGCATCACCCTTCTGCATGAGATCTTGTGACAATCACATACATGAAGTCGTACTTCCTATACAATCTCAGTAGCAGTTGGTGCTGAGAAGACAGCAGAGATAGCTAATGAAGATAGTTTTTAGTGGATCTTAACACTTTTCAGTTTGTCAATATGAAATATGTGGATTCTGTACTGATCTCACCCTCTCACATTAAAGGGGATTCTGAGTTATACATCATAACAAAGGAAATGAGTAAAGTAGATGACTATCAAGATGACTATTGGCATCCAGGTGCTATATCTAAATTATCCAATGTTTCTAAAGATTTAAAACTGCAGTGATGCAAATTAGATTTATGGAGAGTGCACATCATATATGCAATCTGAAACACTAGACAGCTTAAAAAATATATAAATGCATATTGACTTTCATTGTGCCAGCAGGACAAGTTTGTTATTTTTGAAATATTCAGGTAGCTTATCATTGAGATAAATAATAGCATCAAGCATTGATTGCAAATAGCTGTTCTTAGTTATTTGTCCCTGAAACTCTCGGGAGTTTAAAAAAAATAAAAACCTTCTAAAACAAGCCTAAATTAGAATAATAAATAAGCAGAGAATAATGAGCTTTTATCCTTGTACACCCTATCAAGGCAGTATTTCTGATCTTCATTTTTTGGTAAGACTAAGAAAACTTTCTTTTTTTGTTAATATAATGATAAATCAGTTAATTCTCCAAATATATGGGTACTTACCAGCTGTAAAGCTTTCGTCCCTGCTTTCCAGTGTAACTTTCAACCATCTCAAAAGGAAACAGATGACTTCTTTTGCTAGTCTTGTATCGGTTTAGAGAAAGATCTTCCACTAACTGACAGGACTTGCGCAACATTCCAAAGAAAGACTAGTAAACTTCTCTTCTACTCTATGACTAATCAAAATCTCCCATGCCTTTTTCCTGTGGAGGCAGGCAAACAGTAAACAGGAGAATCTTGCTTGGCTGCCTCATTTACAAAAACAATAGAAAAGCCAAAGGAAGCTTCCTAAGAAATTGCTGTGATAAAAGTTGCTGTTGAGGTTATAAGCCAGACGTGGCTTCAGCTGATTTGGATTTAGGGTCAGGAAGTACAAAGACTGAGACATAAAAACTGTATTTTTGTTTAAACTTCATACAAATACAAGGGTACCCTTTAAAGTTTGAAAGAAAGTTAACTTACTGGTTGCCTATAAACTTTGTATCAGTCCTAAATGCATTTCTTGGGGATCACACAGTAAGTGATCGTTTTATATTTTACATGAAAATAGAGGAGTTATCTTGTGTTAGCAGAATGAAGGGTCTGTTGAAAAGTCTGTTACTAGACAGACAGACGGACAGTATCTGCCAGCTAAGCCTTTTCTTTTTTAAATCAGTCTTACCTGTTATGCAAAATATTTAATTGTCAATAACATACTTTAAATCCTGAAAATTCTGCATTTTTTTCTCTTTTATCTCACATTTAACATAGAAGGCTTTGTTTAAGTAATTACAAAACCAAATAAGATTTTGTTAAAAAATAAAAGAAAAGCTCTTTGTCTTAACTCATCTAGCCTTCCAAAACCAAAGAAAAATCTGTCAACACAACACGTTCTCATTTCTGTAGTTCAGATTAAAATATAAACCTTCTCTGTCTTTACTGAAGCTTCATTTTCAGGTCCTAAGTTTCCAAACTGTAAATACCATTATCTGTAAACCAACCTAAGTGATTATTAGATAGCTATTATAATTAAAACAAAAACAACAAAAAACCTTTTTTTCCAAAGCATCCCATAAAATGTGGTCTCAGAGATCACATCAACCTGTCTTAGAGAATCCTGTAGAAATGATAATACAACATGACTGAGAAAACAAGCTTTACAATGATTAAAAGACTCTTCATGAAGCATGCATTCAGTGATAGAATCATGAAGTACCACAAGCATAATGGATGCCAGAACTGTGTAATGAATGTCCTGCTGAAGGGTACAGTCGATGAAAAACAGACTCCTTAAGTAACTGAGGCAGTTGTAGATCCATAGCACAGTATTACTGATTTTTTTTATATAGCAAAAAACATAGAATTGCTGGTAAAAACTGTACTGTAGATTCCACTATTTGAAAATTGAAATCACTAGTGCTTGAAGAAAGAAATAATTCAGAACTTTTTGAGAACAGATCATGTCTTATGTTTACGAGAAATTATGCTTGATAGAAAAGAGAATTAAGGGTCTCCCAGTCCACAACAACAACAAAAATCTGCTTTGAGCTGAAAATCAATCATAATTCTTTGGCATTAGAAAGGATGAAGTGTTGTAGAAAATGCATTGTGATGAATACTATGATTAACTAATTACTAGGTGAGATAACTTGTCAGTTTTATCTGGAGAGATTTTTTCAGTTATTTAGTTGAAGTTCCTGAGATTATTCCTACACTTTCCTATAAGCAAGTGAATTTTGTCTTCCATGTTTCTACCTACCTTGTGGATTTTGCTTAGAATGAAAACCCTACACACTTCAGATCACTTTTGACTGATCATCTGCAACACGTAATGGTTTTTCTAAACTCTACTTATTTCTTGAGGCATCCCAGCTGACATGATTTTTTCACTCCATTCTGGAGTCCTATGTCGTAAATGTTCTACATCTTAATTTTTTAAAAAAACTACTGTCATTTAAATGAGCCAATGCAAATCATCAGATCCTTTGATCCTACAAAACGTTGGTCATTTTTGCTACAGAGAATTCTATTCACTACTTCTATAGGTCAAATGGTAATACAGGAGCCTCCTACATTTCTTACTGTGAGATGTCTATTAATTTAAACTTTAGCTTAACCAGCCCATTAAAAATCATATTTTAAAAAATATTTAAGCATACTGTGGCAATTGATACAATTTAATAAAGTTTTCTGTCCATTACCTTTAAAGATGATTTAGTCCGAGGTTCTGTTTTCTGTCTGGCAAGCTTGTTTTGAATGAGCAATGACTGATCTGTACGAACATCATAATTCCCATGCTCTGAATCATCTGTGTATGTGTCTTTGTCTTTTCCTACATCTGAAGGAAAAACAGAAGAAAATAGTGGGCTCATTTTAGGTTATCGTGGAAAGAAACTGACAGTAAAGTTATATCTGCAGCAGAATACACTTCTGAAGTGTTAACTTTTCAATAACTTATATTCTAGTCTTTCCTGCAAAAGCTTTTTATTTGAACTGATTGTCTTAAACTAGAATTGACTTTCTTCTTAGTAGAAATCCTACTGAAAATTCTTCTCTACTGCCATTTAAATCAAAAAATCCAACAACATCCTTCACAGTAGTTAAAACCAACCAAACAAAAAACAACTGACCAAAAACATACAACAATCACAATGCAAATATTCAGCTGCTTTGGTGCTTGAGTCATAACTGTCAAGACTCAAAATATGTTATTAAATTGGCAGGTGCATCCTGTATATATGGAAACGTTATTGTGTGTTTTTAAATTACAGAAGCTATCAAAATGCTAGCTCCTGCTATGCACATGCTGCTCATCATTAAATACAGTATTTGAAAATTTGCATATTAAGGTATTGCACTGAAAACTTAAGAGGTGTACCCAGAGGTTGTAGAAGATAGTTGACACCATGAACAAAGTACTCTTCTTCTGCAGTGGATTTCTTTTTAATGACTCAACGAAAGTGTTTATAAAAGTATTTGCATACTCCATCATAGTAGTACATGACTGAGGACCTTCATCAAAGCTTATTAAGACCCACTATTACAAGTCAGATTTCCTTCTGCATCATAACCACAGGCAAGACAGATGGACTGTAGTTAAGTCTTCGAGTCACTCTATATCCTCTATTGGAAGGAGGATTGTTTTTCAGACATTGAATTTCCCTTCACATTCTCTATCGAAAAGATCATGACAAGGCTTACCATACACACTCAGAGGAGTGAAATGAAGGATAATGCCTGTACAATATTGGACCGTATAACTTCTACTGAATGCTGGAAAATGGTTAGTTTTGAAAAAAATATTTTAACGATAAAAAGATGGAATAATTATTCCCACGCAATTATATCTTGGACAAATTGCAAATAGAAACTATTCAGACCAAAAAGTTACCCATAAATCCTGAGCCAAGTTCTCATCTCAGCTTTCATATCAACATGGGAAAAGTCAAGGGAACTGGGAACAGCATTTATCCCAGTAATTCTAAACCCTAAATAGAAGCCAAGAAACAAGCCATGGTTGCTGTGGGAACCACAATCTTGAATTTCCTGAATTTTATATTCAGAAAAGCTCATCTGCAACAACAAAGTATTTTTCATTAAGTTGTCCCTTAAATTCTCCACAGTAAATATTACAGAAAAAAAACAACCACAATTATCTCATGTAGCCTAAACATTTCTGCGAAGGAATATTAAACTGGAACATTTACAGAAAGCTGTTTTTTCTGCCGTTTAGTTACTTACATTATAATTACACAAAATGAGCCCTCAGTGATTTCTGACGTTGATACTAACCTCGGTAAATCTGTGAGGTGACTTTTTAATATATGAAATAGCCTGTTTTGATTGTGAGAGCACCAAACTTAGCCTTTATTTAATCTAAAGAAAATTTTAACATAATATACAGGTTACTCTCCAGACAACAAACAGGGAAATAGCAAAAAGCCTGCAAAATGCTGTAAGTAGTACAAGGTAGGAAACAGGATACTTAAACAAATGCGCTGATCTGACTCATTCCCAGATGTGTAAAATGAAAAGAAGAAAAAAGTCCTATGAAATCTAACCTCTTACAGCTAGACACGCCATTTGAATTGAAAGACCTCACTTAAATTAAAAAAAAAAAGTCCACTTTTATAGGGAAAGTTTTATAGGATAAGAGATTTTGAGTAGATCTAAAACAAACAAAAAGCTTTGCAAAAGTACATTGTGTTTTATTTAAATAATTTTAAATTATGAAGTTTTATATAAGTTATTTAAGTTTTATTGCTCAATATACTTTAGTTACTAACCACTTTTTTAAATTTTCAATGCCACAACTTTTAAATTGTGCCATCCATTTTCTCTAAAGAAGATTACCTTCCATTCAGAGATACCAGCTACGTTGTCTGAAACATAGACTAAAATGATTTTAGTAGTGAAAAAAAACCACAAATTTAGAATTTAAAAGATTGTAAAACTTAACAACATTTAGCACTGTACATTTTAACAGTCTATGACTTATTTTATGCACTGAAAACACTATTCCACAAGGTAATGGTATCAATATAGTAAAAATGGGAGGAATGAAGATTAACGCACAACATTTAATTATTGCACTAGACTGTATGTTACGCCTGTCTGAAAAAATGTCAGAGACATAGCATACAATCCATATTTAAAAAGTATATCTAAGTGTGTGTATTTTTCTTAATGGTAATATGCATTAATATCAGGAAGCATGCTTTGCAATACTTTGAATGAACTTGCTGTCCCGTTTGTCTCTTCTGCAGCATACATTAAGACAAAATATTTAATATAAATAATTAAATTCCAAAGAAAAACGTAAACGGATTGCATGGCATTTATATACCAGAACAGGTTAGAAAGAAGAATTGAAATGTATGTGGTTTTGGGAGCCATATTTTGTTTCTTAAGTTGAACTTCCTATAAATTTCTTTTGAACAGTTCCAAAATTTGTGAAGAATACAAAATGAAATTTGTTCATTTTAGAAAATGATCTTGGAAGATCATGAGATGAAACTTAAAAAAGCAGTCAATGCTATTAATGGAATTCTCCTATGACCAAGTGCTTGTTCTGCAATAAGATATCCACCTCTTCTATTAAAAGGTAAAGTCTCTCTTGGGCAATTTTCCCACCCACAAAGCCAAAATGACATGCTCTTAAAGATAAAATTATAAGACCTAAGGTACTTAAAATTCAATTCTTACTAGGGTCACCAATGCATGCTACGTTTTATACATACACGGTCATTTAGCTTCTGCAACCTTTCCTAAATAACTGCAGTTTTAAAACTTCCATGACATTTTTGGATTATTTTAATCTATGAAGTAACACTATTTTCTGCTATCCTTTCCTCTACAATCTCTATTATTTATTTATTTTTGCATTTTAACTGCCATTTGGGATTGTCACAAGCCAAAACAAGATAGCATCCCTGGATGTTGTGGCTGGAGCTGTACTGCTCAGGGATGAAAGATGTTTTTAATGCAACATAGCCCAAAGGCAGTGAAATGGACTGTTTCTCTCTTTCTCTTGCATTATAAGTACCCATCTTGAAATTCAAACACAGAGACTTGATTTGGCTGCAGCTCCACAAAACATCATGAGAAAAACTCGCATGCTTCAAGCTCTTCACTCTACATTGTGGGAAATCCATTGGTTACTTCATTTCATTTCTTTATTTCCCATCATGCCTTCCCTGGCCTACAACAACTGAACGGGTTGTTACTGGCAAGAACAATTGCCAGCTTACACCACTTTTGTAGCTCTTGGATGGGCTCTAGTGCCAACCACCAAGTCGCCTGTCTGATTTGGGGAGGGGAGAGAGTAGGCAAGTCACCAGAGGAGGTGGGGAAAAAAAAAAAAAAAAAAAAAAAAAAAAGGAAGAAAGGAAAACTGAGTTCACATTGCTCCTTAACAGACCTCAGGCAACTGCCTGCCTCCCCCCAGATTTGTTCTCTCCTCTGTTGGTAACAACTCCTACCCTACATGTGCTTTGCTGTTGTGGTGGTATTACCCTGGGGAAAAAAAAATAAAAAAAGATTAAATAAAGACGAGAATATTAAGTCAGAGAAAAGGGTGATAGATTGTAATTCTAGAGGCAATCACCGATCATATTTCAATTTTCAATGGAGTCCATGGGAATTTCTCTATTCAATTCAGTAAATCAAGGACATCTCTTTAACTGGGTATCTATTTATAGCACTGACAAAATTGTTAGTATATCTGAACATTTAAGTCCATCTGCACCATCAACCTGGATCCAGACTTAGGTACAAAGTGATTTTCTGTTTTAAAAATTAAGCATTAATCAAATGGATAACATCTCTTACTCAAAGCTGTTTGAAAGCCTACTAGTCTGTTTTTCTACCTTGTAACACAGAGGCAAGATGAGTAACTTCAGTCTTTATTCATCACAACAGATATCTACTATTTCTGACATACAGTTTTATTAAGATTGATGCATGATAGTGAGACTTACCCTAAGGGCACTTATAAGAAGAAAAAGAAAAAAAGGAGAGATTTTCATTTCTAGGAGTCTTTTACCCAACAGCACAGCAGCACTTCAAAATTAATTTCCAGGTCCACAGTTGGCATTTTCACCTTTTGTCTTCTTCAGTGCTTAGCTACCTTTCTTTCTATTGCATAATTCTGACGGGCCAAGAATGCATTTTAATTTTATGATAATTAAAACATAAAAAGTATTTGTCCCAATTTCCCTGCAACACACTATCCATTGATATCTTAGATAACTGGTGTAGGATAGAAGATCTTTTTCAACTGAAACCTGACACTACTATTGAAAGGGAAATTCATATATAAATTATTCCTTGATAGTTTTATTTCACAAATTTTGATAAGATGATTCTTGTTGGACCATGTAAGCTTTAGAAAGAATTAGATTATTGGTCAAGAAATTAATCCCCTTTTGCCCCAATTTTAGTCCCAGAAACAACAAATAACCTGCAGGAGGATATCACTAGACACTCAGATAAATGAGGTTGTGATGGATTTAGGCCATCTTAGTTTATTCTGGTAGGTACCTGGAATGCTATATTGTAAATATGCCATTAAAGATTTTTCAGCTGCCTGAATATACGTACTTATATACCAAATGCTAGCATAGTTGATGAGTGCAGGCTTTTTTTTTTTTTTTTAGTGTACGATTTCTCAGGAGCTTTCAGACAATTGTAACCATTACACAGAATATATCTAAGTTTTAAAAAGGGAGCCAGGCAGGTTTTTAGCTATCTGGAGGAGTTAAGATGGCATACAGAATTAGTACAGGTGGATTAAATGCCCAAAGTAATTACATATTTTGAACCTCAATATTACACTTT